AATACGCTATAAACATACATTTCTTTTTGAAAAGCTGCCTGTTATGATAGATTCAGCCCATTAGCCAATAATAAATATTAACAAACAAAATATTTGCACACCTAAACAAAATCTATGTTTATCTATGTTTAGAAGTGGGAGGGAAGGTACATTTCCAACTAACCAACTTTTTAAAAAAGCAGTACAGTCCTTAAGAACAAGTGTATTTGGCACTAATGCTGATTATTCCGTTGACATTATACATATCGACCCCCTTGCTACTGCAAGTTTTCACATTGCAGTAGACACCAGGGAACCACTTAAATTGTAAACTGGGTATTTTGGTATACAAAAGTAAACTGTCCTTTATGCCAAAGCAAACCTTGCAGGTATTTTAATTGAATACACTGGATGATGTGCAGTCTCCTTATATTTGTGCAAAGCATGTGTATTTCACATACCATTGTAGTCTAATAATTAGCAAGATATGAAAGGCCTGTCTCTAATAAAGTGTATAAACCAGTGAGTAAGATACAATAAGGCATTCTCTTTACAAGATCTAGTAAAGTTACAATTTTATGGCCATTTTGGAAATTGTTTTCCTTCTGTAATTTAAACGGAATGTATTTTGCATATAAATCTAAAGAAGTTCTGTAAACATTTAAAAATATCCTTTTTTTCTACCAAAGCAAAAGGTGAAGTTATTTGTTACAAACAATCGGCTCCTGTCCTAGAATGCTTTGGCGTAGATAAGAAGATATCATGGTGTCTAATTAGCAAAATAAGAACAGAAACAAACTGTAAACTCTACTAAAATGTGTTCATCACAAAAAAAGCCAAAAGAAGAGATACCTATTACCTAGTGAAGCTCCTCGCCGTAGCCTAGCGATTGGGCTTTCTCAGGGGGGAAATTTTCAGCTTCACGCGTGTTTCAAACACTGGTTGGCATGTAATGACACTGTGCCAAGTCACATCACGCAGACTGCCTCGTGCGGGTAGCATTTTATAATTGATAAACAGTCACATGCATTTAAAATCTGAGTGAAGTCATCACTGCTCCCAGTCCTGTGAGATGTGACAATTAGTTCTTTTTGCGCCGGTGGGCTCCACCGTTTCCCACAAGCCCTCTGGGCGAGGGTGCCTCCATAGCAAGGAGAGCGGCCTTGACGTGGAGGAGGACAAACAGCAGGTCTAGGAGTCCTCCTTCTGTATCTGCGGCTGGGCGTCCTGTGGCTGGCTCTCTGGCGCCGCCTCCTGGACAGGAGAGTGGTTGCAGCTGTTCTTGTTGCTGTCGTTGCTGCCATGATTGCCAGCGCTGCCCAGTCGAGTTGAGGCCACCACGGCCTTTACTGCCGCCTGCCCAAAGTACATACAATTATTACAGTTTTACATCACATCTGAAAATTCTGATTCTGGAATCCATAGGGATGGCAGGTATGCAATCTGCAAAGTTAGGTCAGGGTGCTTAGTACTACAAATCTGCTACAGTACAATTTGAAGAAGCACATTGTTATACTAATCAAGCCCAATATCTCAACTTCCTTTTCCATTATTTTTTGTTATATGCAGTTTCCATTTCATGTTGAATTAGTCTCACTCAATATTTCAGAGCATATTTCATTTATCCCATTATTGGACACCTGATCAAAGCTTAAGATATAATCAATAAACTAGTTTTGGCTGCGATTTATCACAGTCTATGGGTGGATTTACAGAATGCTTGTTGAATTTTAACATTGGATTGCAAACTCTGTGCTCATTTCAAGGAATACTTTGAGAAAATATACCAAAGACACTTTATTGCTGCAAGCTAAGGCTTTGTTCCAGAGCTGCCATTTATGGTATTGTCAGGCTTATTAGAAAGAACCTACTTTGAGCTTGCGACGGGCATTGAACTCCTGGAGCTTCTTCTGAGCAGTGTCCATATGGGCGAAGTTAACAGCCTTCCCAGTCACCCAGGGATGCTCCAGTGCCTGCAGGGTCGTCAGACGCTTCTTTGGATCCTGAACAATCAGCTTCTTCACCTGAGGGACACATATGACATGCAAATAAGTGTGCATTCCTGTCAAAAGTATGTCAATGTCCTGCCAAACAGTTTTTCAAATGATCATTTTTAGAATCCAAATTCACTCATTAACAGTACTCTCACGAGCACTGTGTACAGGTGAACTTTATGACCTTCACATTTAGGGAACTGGCCTTGTAACCAGATGGTTGCAGGTTCAAACCCCAAGAGGGACACTGCCTTTGGGACTACCGAGCATGGTGTTTAACCTTAATTTCTGTGGTATATATCCAGATGAAAAAACTGATTTGAAAACTATTATTAAGTTATGCTAGATAAAGTGTCTACTAATCAAATTAATGATATAATGTCAGGAAGACTCTCTCATACATTGCCCATTTACTGTACCAGTAACATTTTGTCTTTTTGGAAGTACTGAGGAGAGAGTACACTGAGCCACACATAACACAGAGATTTTGAGGAATTAGAAGGGATAGCCTGTGCAGGACATGTGGCCATGCTGGGAGGCTGGTATTTAGGATGTGTTTTTGACTGATTTTGCGTCACAGGATGTTCATTATCTAGCTGCGGAATCAGTCTTGCTACATCCGACAAGCATGGGAACTGAGAACCTGCCAGAGTAAGTTCATTAGATACCTAGTTAGTATTTACAATAAATTCTTTCCAACAGCTTTTGGTGGTGTCATTTATGATGAGGTTCTGGCCTTTTATAAGACCCTTTCCTTTCCTAACCAATCATATTTTCAATGCGGTTTGTCTGTATTGTGATGTACTGGAATGTAATTCTTCCTTATTACAATTTATCAAAAAAACTTTTCATTTTGAGTGATTCAAATACAATTAACACATACTTAATGCTTTCAATTATTTTAATATACCCAGAATAGTTCTGCACAAGAAAGTTGAAAATTGTGAAATGTATTTGTAAATTTGTAAATATGACAAGTGTTCTTGACTGATCAGATACAGAAAGGTTGACTAAATAATTTTTTTTAGGAATGATCAGGTTCCAACTAAAACCACATTGTATATCACTATGATAATTTCATAGTTTTTTTATGAAAAATTACTGTCTGGGAAATCATAACATTAGCACTGAATATCTGCTGGAGGGTAAATGTGAAACTGATGTGTACAAAAATATGAGCTGTGCAATGACTGTTGTGAAGGGTGGTTACTATGAATTCTGAGGGAGTAAAGGCCCAACTTCAAATTGTCCTCTTACCAGGTCCTTTGCATTAAGAGACACATCGTCCCACCAGGGGGAGACAAACTCATAGTCACAATTCAAAATCCTCTTGAACATATATTGGTCTCCTCTGTCGTCAAAGAAGGGCTCAAAGCCACACAATCTGTTGGGAAAAAAAGCACACATGATAAGACTCTGGCTGTTTCGCAGACACCGGAGTTACAGTAAAGCAAACTGAAATCCGCCTGCCTGTAATGTGTGTCACAGAGCAGGTGTCTTCCTGAGCTATTGAGAGAAGCAGTGAGTTGAAGGAACCGACTTCCTGTCAGTCTTGGCGGTTTACTCTCATTGGCCATCTGTAAAGCTGCAGATTTTGCACCACGGGCCACCGACACAAATGCCTGGACACATAGAGTAGACACACCAACGCAGATTGTGTGTGTGTGTGTGTGTGTGTGTGTGTGTGTGTGTATGAGTTCATATGTCTGTGTGTTTGAGTGTCTTATAGTGATACTAAATGAAATATAAATGCACACTCCACTGTAATGTACAAGAACAGCATGTCACTCTCATTCTACATTGTGAGAGGGTAGACCGTGTAAACTGAAAGCCCTGCTACACACGTGCCCATCATGCATGCGATTTCCACCGGCAGCTGAATTTGGCAGCAGCTCTATCAGGGCTGTTCACACCCCACTGCTCTTCCGAGACACACATGATGTATCACAGGATTAGATGGCAGGAGGACTGGATAAGGCCACGAGGTGGACACACAAGTAGAGCCAACATGGCGTGAAGGGTACAGCACGACAGGATGCTGGGTCCGGAGAGAGCACATTCTATCCCTCCGTGTGTGAAACCGATCCCCCCACACACCAACACGGGTGTAGTACCAGGGAGGTGGAGAGAAAGGGTGGAGCTGAATCAGGAACACAACACACAGGAGCCATAATGGAACTAGACACACATCACTTAGCATATCTGTAAGAACAGAGGATGGACACATTACGGGTGTGTTGCTCTGTGCAATAGCAGAAATCAATACAGGGACCAGTAGTATTAGTTCAAGCTGAAAAAAGCACTCCATATCATACCACATCACATTTAAAAAAAGGAGCAAACTCATGTTGTTGGAAAATGAGAACCTTGGAATTATGCTAAATATAAAGGCGACACATATGGCTGCTCCGCTATAGGGTCCTTTTCTGGCTCTGATCTCTAATATAGTGTAACATCACCTAATGGCCAGATGCCCACAGTCCACTCTCCTTCATATGCTGGCAACAGTGTGAAGGCAGATGTACTTGCCTATCAGCTTTCTTACTCAAGCAGCTTACACTCCATATCCCACACCCTTTCCCCTGACACCGAGCATCGTGAATCCGTGTCAAAACAGACATGTGCCAACACGTCCGCTCCTGGGTTGCCGGCCCAAGGAAGATGAGACCAAATATTGTCTTTCAGGGGCGGTTTGTGTCTCTTGCTGCCTGACATGACAGATGAAAGAGACGCAGGACTCCCCTCCAAGTAAAATCTCCGTATTTGCCGAGAGAGCTGCACGTCTGTCACCCAGCTGTCAATAGCAAACAGCCCTCATCGCAACGCCTTCATAGCGAGGGTAGCGAAACCATTTCATGATTACCTGCTCAAAACACAAACAGGGTTGTTTCAGAATGGCAGACATGCCCACATCCCTCTTCTCTCAGTGCTGTTGCTTTTTGTGTGTTTACATTACAGTACATTACATTAATGTCATTTAGCAGACGCTCTCATCTAGAACGACTAACACAGGTTACAACAAAGTTATGAGCCAGCCAGAAGTCAAACCTAGAACTTTCCGATCCATAGTCAGACACATTATCCATTGTGCCACTGGCCCATGTTTAGCCAGTATATCATTGAATTTTAGGCTAGAGTGTTGCAACTTAAACAAGATCAGACATTATAAATGTGTTCCATGCACATTATGGCATTTAGACACTGATTTATGCAGTGTGTTTGACATATCAATTTGTGGAGGTGGTATGATGGGGACTGTGAGACTTTGAACATCTTTAAAAATTCCTGTCCAAGTGACTATTTTTGTTCCTTGTTACTGTCAACAATCCACAGTAGTCAAAGTTGTTTCTTAAACAGGTGTGAAGGACAGCTTCATGTTTATCAGTGATTTCACAGGCTGCTCCAGCAAGCAGTCTATAAGGTGTTTTTTTAAATAGCCAGGACTTCTCCACTATTTACCAAGCAGTGTTAAACGGACAGGGGAATTTTAAGCAAGTCAGTATCACAGGGTCTCAATGAAAGGCAGAACAAGGATTTTTTTCGGGAACAGACGCAACTTACAAGATGTACGTAATGACTCCCACAGACCACATGTCCACTTCCGGCCCGTAAGCACATCCTCGCAAGATCTCGGGAGCTGGAAAAGGAGAGGAGAAAGACAGAGAGAGAGAGACAGACGGAGAGTATTAGCACTTTGCAAGCTAGTATAACTATATAATTTCCCAGCTAGATGCTAACACAAAGCGAGGGAGCTGAAAGCTTCGACTTGACATTTTTATTTCTGTCTGTCGCCCATCAGAAAATGCAAGAGTGCTTGACACTGTGGAGGCGGATGATGGGGGGGGGGGTTCCTGTGGTCCTTTCTGAGTGGGAATTGTTAGGAGTTCACACAGACATTTCTGTCCTTAGCATACAACAGAGAATGTCCCTTTTGGTAAAGTGCCTATCCTCTGCTTACGCAAAGATGAAGCGAATCGCCCTGTTGGAGCTTGTGCTTCACAGAAAGATCCACAGCGCCTTCATAGATCTCTCAATTACTGTGCCCAGTGTATCTGCCGTTGTCTCTCCCTTTATAAGAGGTCTGCGGAGTTCTGCTGCAAGCAGTTAATTAACCTTAATTAACATTGATCAAGTCCTCCTGAGTGAATGGATGCGTTCAGAAGGATCAAAGGCTGTGCAGGACCTTTGTGGCAGCATGCTAAATATGGCAAAAATAAGGCCGGGCATACTCATATCCCTTGTCACTAAGGCTGGAGGCATTAAAGAGAAATGCAGACACATAGGCATATACACTCTGAGGCACACTCTCATACATAAAGACACACATACACACATACACACACATATATCCCATGCTTGGATGGTTGTGGGTACGTTTCTGGCTTCCTCAATGGACAGCATTAGTGCCTGAGATCTGCGTAATACCTTCCCTCTTTGTGAATGAGAACCATGTGTTTGCAGTCGCCTGAAGCAGTCACTGTGCGTAATCATTCTGCCACAATGGCCACAAGAGCTATTACAGATGGTTTCATAATAAAACTCTGTGTCATATGGCTTCAGGAGCTGTCCTTAGGAAGTCAGAAGTTAGCACCTTTTGAGTGTTTTGTGCTAATCCTGTGGTAAAAAAGAAAAGATACACCAACCTACCAGAAAGAAAAAACAGATCTCACAAACTATATTTTAAGTGAGAGCAAAAGCAAAGAAAACCTGAAAAGCTGACTGGATTCAAATAAGAGCAACACACATTTAACTGACTAATTTTCTGGCAAAGCTTTCTATCAAACACTGTGCTTTGGAGGTTGGGTGATATACATAAATTTCACAAAACATACATTCACCACTGGGCTTGTTGGCAGATCACTGTGGATTCAACCAGCATAACAGCTGATTAAAATTTCCTCAAGTGTATTAATATTGTTAAATAAATAATAATACATTTACAGTTGCAAAGTAACATGCCGTGTTATTTTATCTGAATGCCCCATCACATCTGGAATTTGATCTTTCCCTCAGAGTTGATAGAGAAGGAGCAAATTGCATAATTATATAATGACTGAGAAGACAATTATTGAGAATAGCAATAAATACTGTTAATAGTAACAGTAGTTTTGTATTAAAAATAGCTAAGGCATCACCCCAGTGTGGCATCTCCTGCCTTCTGGCCTCTTACAAACATGAGTAATGAACACAGACAGATGTTCCGAGACTGTTGACCTCTGTGTCATATTTGAAGCTTAAAACAGGCCTGGGCTTATAAACATCACACAAGCAGTATTCCAGGGTGGAGGGATTCGTTACACTGGCCCACATCAACAGTGCAGCTCAACACTTCCTGTTGTTCTGTGAAGGCAGGAAGAGATTACTGTGACATGTTATGCAGTGGACATGTTGTGGTGTTTCAACCTCATTTCCATATGGATTTATGACTCAGGCTACAGGTCTGAAATATCTCTTGCAAACAGTCATATAGAAAATGAATCATTTATTTCCCAGCCTTTCAATACAGCGAACAGTGAGAAGTGCTTGTCAACTAACTGGCACCGAGTTGTGGTTAGAAGCAATGTCCTTAAGATTGATTGCTTCTGCCTGTCTGTCTGTATGTCTGTCTTTCTCTATCTCTCTTGTATATATTTTGAAATGAAAAAGATGCTTTAATTGATGAAAGTGCTGCAGAGATGCAATCAATATCACGGATATACAAAGATAGAAAATAACAAGTATGTTTGATGCAGTAAACGGGGATCATTCTTGAAACCTCTCCACAATCAGGACTATGAGTACAATGTTATCAAAGTGAAACAGATCTGATTTAGAAATGATTACAAAAATGTCAAGTGCTGTAAACCACTGCAACACAAACAGAGGTATTGAGTGTACTGAGTACATGAAACATCATTTCAGCAGAAACACTGAAAACATGAGCTCACCACAGTATCCTGGAGTCCCACACACTGTCTTCATTGTGACCTGGTCATCTACGATTTTTGACAGGCCGAAATCAGCTTGAACAAAAAAGATTACAACATTATACATTGTATAAATTGTGCTTTTTATACAAACATGTAATCATGTGTGAATGCAGCATGATCTACACAATTGAGAAAATAAATATTGACAAAAGCCATCAGTGCATTTAGTGAGAACCCTGGAAGATGCAGTTAACGGTCTCTGATGAGTTTGCTAAATATGGCAAAAATGAGGCCAGGCAGACTCATATGCCATTTCATTAAGGCTCAAGGCATTAAAGAGAAAACACGTAGGCTTATACACTCTCAGGCACACACTCATGCATAGAGACACACACACACATATATCCCATGCTTGGATGGTTGTGGGCACGATTCTGGCTTTCTCAATGGGTGGTGTTAGTGCCTGAGATCTGCGTAATACCTTCCCTCTTTGTGAACGAGAACCATGTGTTTGCAATCGCCTGAAGCAGTCACTGTGTGTAATCTTTCTGCCACAATGGCCACAAGAGCTATTACAGATGGTTTCATAATAGAACTCTGTGTCAAATGGCTTCAGAAGCTGTCCTCAGGATGTCAGGAGTCACACTTTTCATGCTTTTTAAGACCATTTTTATACAAAGATGAAATCATGTGTGATTTCAACATTATGTACAGACAGTAGGAGATACATACTGATAATAGTCATAATTACATTTAGTGAGAAACCTGAAAGATGCAGTTAATAGTCCCTGATGAGGTGTACTGACAGAGTTTAATGCATGACCACACTCATAGCTGATGATCAGTATCTGGTCACCACAATTATAAATGGCTATTAGGGACAAAATATTCCACTTGTGTTAGATTATGGAAGATCACAGAACGCTACTAAAACTCCACAGATGCTCTATGTTATGACCAGTTATACAGCTTCCCAACCCTTGCCATCCAACTTCTTATGTAGGAGGTTCCTGCTGATAACAGGAGGCTCCCGTGCTGTCTGCGATGCTAAGCCAGCTATGGATGTTCTGTTTTAGACCATGCTCCTTCAAGAGTCTTCACCACAAATTAGCAAACCAGCATGAAGCAGAGTGTGTCACTCACCGATTTTGAGAGGAGCATCGGGGGCGGAGGTGGCATACAGGAGATTCTCAGGCTTCAGGTCACGGTGCACAACTCCGTTCTCATGAAGGTACTGCAAAGGACACGGGAGAGCAGATACTAAGCAGGGTGACAGACAGGGCTATGCTAGCTTTCTTGGTGTTTCTCAGCCGTCAGTGATGCAAGGTCCCCAAGCCCAACCAACACAATCTCCACAATGTGCTGCTCTGCCGAATTTAGGCCATCATTATAACAGCCCTTGAGGGGTAAATACAAGACCACACAAATTCTTCTGCTGAACAGAGATGGACACATTTTTAACAAGAGGGTTTTTAGCTTTCCATTTCACATGATAATTTAAATGCACTAATTTGATTAATATGGCATTTGATTGGCTAAGTTAAACCTCTTTCACCCTTATCCTGACAAGCTTGAAATATTTTTAAAAGCCTGATAAACTCCTAGATTCCTAGACCAGCGTGGCAGAGCTAAGGAAGCCATCAGAGCTGCATGCATTCAAAAGTAAGCAATCATACTGACAGCTTCGTATTAGCATGGGACACACCTCAACACCTTCCAGACTGTGCATCAATGCACCAGGTGTCTTTCCAATTACAGCCTGATTTTCAAAAAGCGGTCTCTGAATTATTTAAAAAGCGCAATCCTCCTTACCGGCTCATTCAATCCGTGTCTGTTTGGCATTGTAACGCCTCTAGGTAACATTAATTACCCATAAAAATATGCCGTCCCGTCCCCTTCCTGCGTGCAGAGGGCACACTGGCACACCAGCCTGCTTCCTGTTGATCTCTGCACCCCTTGCAGATCAAACAGCAGGGATCTGAACCTCTCTCTGCCTTCATTTCCTATACTGCTCGCATCTGTGCTTTGAAGAGTTTCCTCCCACACGCGACCCTGGTCTAACCCCATGTGAAAGCATGGAGTTTCAGAGCGCTCAGAGAGAACCAACATGGCACAAGTCCAACTGCAGGACACCGCCCCCAAAATTCACGAAATTTTATTTAACATATCCTGAATGGAGGGAGAAAAAGTC